AATCACATCCATTTACTTGAGCTGAACCGACTTTGTTTTGATAAAAAAAAAATTGGTGTTGATATATGAGGCTGTAAAAGATTTAGACTGAAAATTAATTCCTACCGACAGCTTCCATCGTCAAAGAATTTCTATGTCACAAAAAGATGGGCTTTTTCTTACAGCAGTAAATATTTCATTTTTTTTTACATCCTTAAATGACGCCTTACATTATTATTTGTTTGTTTTGGTAATACAATAAAAACAAACACTATAACTATACTATATTGATGTACATGTACCTTTTTGAATTTGACGTTTTAGATGATATAAAGAAAATTAGGGATAAATATGCTGTCGACATTTTTTAGACAATAAGTACGTATTTCAGGCACGTAAATGTTCATGTATCCTTTTATTTTCCCGTAGTAAAATTTATCTTGTAGATTTAAGAAATGTTGGAACTTTTCATAAAAATAAGGGGGGACCTATGTCGTTCTTCGTCAAAGCAGCGTTATGTGACGTCACAATAGCGACGTTTGATTTTACCTGTTGAGTTTTGCAACTGTGATATAGGCATAACATTGTTAATAATCAGTAACGTACACAATTTAGAAAAAGAAAATTTATTCATCATTAATAACAGTTTTAGTTGATTTATGGAGTTTGTTAATATTAGAATTCTCTTCCTTTGGTTGATAATTCATAGCAGTTTCAGTTGTGAAGAAATACCTCGATGATATGCTAATATAAGTGCATAAAGATAAGATAAAATTCAGCAAAGAAAGCAGCTTAAATCAGGGAAATATGTTTAATTTAATATTTACCATTAATTGTATTTTCTGGATAAAACTAAGAAAAAATTAAATGTACTTGTACCTATATTTGCTTATTAATTTATAGTACATGTATATTTTATTGTATAAAGTCATTCCTAGATTCTAATAGGTGTTGGTTGTTGACGGGGAAATGGGGGGCATGATTAGAATGAAGAAGAAATGAATTAATCTGTTTAAATTGTTTCAAAACAAAATACTCGTTTTTCTCAAAATAGTTTTATATTCAGATATTTGTCAGTGCTTACTTACCTTTGTCTTAGTGCAGAAAGGTCAATATTTATGACACAAGAGTACGAAAATAAAAGAAAACGTTATATTTCTCGTTTATTTTATCATAAAGGTATACTTTTTTCTTTGTTAAAACAAAGAGATGAATCATTTCTTTCAAAAAATTTGAATTTCAACATTTTCACACAAAGACTTTTTAAGATTTTACCTGTTATGCATATCGGAATGGTAAAAAATACGACAAGAAAAACGGGCTGATACTTACATTGTGCTCCATTATTATTTTTCATGCAAGATGAATTATAATGAATTTGCCTTCATTTTAAAGATACTAGTCAGATAGATTAAATACCTGTTGATTTCGACATTTTTGGTTTTTTTAGCGCATATTTGAAGTAGAACAATAATGTCTGAAAATAATCTATTTTTAGCATTTCCCACTGTTTTTGCATGTGCTCCTGTGTAAAACTAAGCATACAAAGGTATTGTTTTTAATACCTAAAAATTAAGAGGAAGCGGTCAGGAAAGAAATATCAAAGTTTTGAAAATTTCACACAAAGACTTTTCGGACATATATAGGTCCCCCCTTAACGCCTACATTTCAAGAAAACGTTAGTAAAGATAGTAAATCAAAACACCATTGTTGTGAATTCAGTAATATAACCATGCATCTTTTAAAAAATAAAATAAATAAGCACAGTGTCAACATAATACAATAATACACATCTTGAAGAGATTTAAAAGAAATTTTAATTTAAAATCATTACACTGTTATTATTATTATGGAAATTAATAAATACTGAGTATATTCAAAATTGTTAATTCGATTGCCCCTTTAAAGAACTGTGATTATCAATGATATTTGATAGCTTAATAAAATATTGTACATTGTATGACCAAAATACTGAGTCGGAGAATTATTGTACATTGTATGAACAAAATACTGAGTCGGAAAAACCCATCATTTTTTTCTAAAAGTCCATTTAATCTTGTTACTTCTCTCTTACCCTAACATCAATATATTAATGTCTTACAGACCATCTTTGTTTACAGAATTATTTATCAATACCTAATAAACAAGCTTTAGACTGTCTAGTCATAAATTTCGGGTTGAAGAAGGTAGATATGTTAATGAAAATAGAAATAAAAGAATATGTTTATTTTGTGACTTGAATGATGTAGAAGATGAATTCCATTTTCTATTAAAATGTCCTGTATATCAAGATCTCAGAATTCAATATATCAAACAGTATTATGTTAAAAAACCTAATGTCTTAAAACTAATACAAGTAAGTTTTCAAAATGTCAAAGAAATGTATAAATTGGGAAAAGTTTTGTTCATCGCTTCACAACGAAGAATAGATTTACTAAATTGTTTGTAGCATATAATATGTATGGAAATATTTATCATATAACTGAAAGATTTGACTATATGTATATCTTGTTTACAATACAATGTCATGTAATTGTCTGATCTTCCATATGGCATAAGGAAATAAATAATTGAATTGAATTTGTTTTGTTTTTTTGTAAAAAAAAATATTTACCAAATTTATAAAGTAGTTGTGTTAATTGATTTTTGGCACTATACATTTTTTCCCTCTTTTACAACATTTTAAATGCGAATTACTTATTAAAATATGATTTGACACAACAATAGATAAAAAAAAATCATCTCATTAACTTCCAATCTCAACTCGAGAAAAATAGATCAAATTGTGATTAAACAAAAAATTGCATCATTATTTATTTTTTTGAGATGACCAATCGAACCACATGAATTCAAGGTATATTTAAAATTCATGTTAATAACGATAATAAGGTTTTGTAATAATAATTTTTCTGTCGAATCCTGTTTTCACCATGTACGAAATACAATTTATCATTGAGTCAAACGCTGACTGACGTTTTTCAAAATAATTGTTTGTCCATTATTTATACAGTGAATTGACGACGAATTTTCCCGCTATTTCCCGATCATGACAAGGAGCACACGGCAGATGTGACAGGTCGGCAGGGGATGCTCACTCCTCCATGGCACCTGATCCCACCTCTTTGTTTTGCATGTCCGTGAACTCTGTTCCTGTTCTGCATTGTTTTATGGACTTTTCATCTTGAATACTGTTCGTGTTATCTCCATATTTTTCATGGACGATTGAGCATCCCCTGCCGACCGCCCCCCCCCCTCTAACCCGTGTGCTCCTTGTCATGATCGGGGAAATTAACGAAAAAATCCGCCTTCATTTCAGTGTATAAATAATGGACTAACATTTTATATGAAAACCGTAAGTTAGCCTTTGACAAAATTATCATTTGTATTTGCTGACAAAGTTATTGTATCGACTATAGTTTACGAAATGACTTAAGACGAGATTTCTGAAATGTATGTTTCATCAACTTGTACACTTAGGACAACAGGGCATTTCTCTATAGTTATAACCTGAATTTCCATTGGAAATATACCTTTTTAGATAAATTAAAGATTTAGATTTAGGTTTAGTAACAATATCTTAAGACTGGATTTGATAATTAGTTATGAAGTGAGGGTATACCCAGCTTGTTTGATGCATTCATTTTCCTTGAAATGCAATTTCTAGCAATTTTTATGTAATTATGTGGTTACTTACCCTAAGTATGTGAAATTTTTTAACTGAAATTATTTATTGCTAAAACTTGCATTCATTCAAATATTTGATGAGACAATTTTCTTGAAGAAATTGGTCAAGACTTGCGTTTCTAAAAATAAATTTAAAATATTAATGGTATCATATATTATGGGACACCCTGTATGTCAATAATTTACCTCGAAATTACTTAGAAATTGTTCATACGTAAAACATGCTCTTGCGTATCGAATCAATAGAGATATATATACTCCGTATGTAGGTAATGAAGGTATATTGCTGCATAAGTAAGGGAAGTTAACGATAGCAAAGTTAAAGTCATTACGTTTATCATAGATTTTGGTTGATAATTAAAATTAGTATTTAACGTCTTTTTTTCAAGTAAAATATACAAATATGAAACAGATGTGTCAGACACTAATATATCAACAAATGTTTAAATCTGTGTTCCCGAACATGACAAGGAGCACATGGCGGGTGTGATCGGTCAACAGCTTGAGGATACTCCTCCGTGGTACCTTATCCCAACTCATATATTTTGGACAATCATGTTTATTTTTCTATCGAATTGTATAATTTTAGTAGACTTTCGAGGCTAATACTGTTCGCTATCTCCATATTTTATTGAAAGGTGAAAATGTTATGATGGATTTGTCGCAATCATAAAAGAATGTTAAGTACAGAGCGAAAATAAAATAAAACCATGAATAATACTCAATAAATAATGACTTTTGTGATTTCAACTGTATATATATATGGTAGTCAGCACTAAAAAAATAATGTGGTTTTTGTTACCATAGTTAACTATGGCTCTGTTTATCCATGTACGTTATCATGATAATTACAGCTAGAGATGTCAACTATTCTGTCTCTATTTTTTTTTTCCATTTTCCTAAAAGTTATATAATTTAAAAAAGTATTTCCAAAATAAACATATCCTCCTCCCCTTGGAAGGACGATATTTTACAAAACATATTCTACCTTATTTGATATTAACTACTGAATGAATGAACAAATTAAAAAATAATAATTTGATAATATGTTGATGCACACTATATCTTTTTAGCCCATTGAATACAGTTCCCTAGCGAAAATAGAAAAAAAAGCCTGACATATTTTGACCAGTTTTGATCCAAAAATAGATTCATTTACAAGATTGGAAGTTTTATCAAAAAAGAGCTGTCATTGGAAATTTTGTCAACAGAAAACAACGTCCTGGGAAAGTGTACTGACATGAAAGGTTAATCTTCCATCAGTTATATTTAGAAGCCCATAAAATATTATTCCTAGATACAGTGTATGGGGAAAGTCTTACGACCAATGTTATTATTGGTTAATAAATGGACAGTGGTGACATTTACTTGTACTGGCCCTCTATTTAAGACAAAGAATACATGTGGAGATTAACAGAAAGTTGGAGCTTTCAGACCAAAAACCTGAAAGGCCAATCCATTCACAAAAATGTATAAGTTGTGCGCACTGATAGGATTACTTTTTGTAATAGAAGCATGCTTGGCTCGACCGGGTTAGTACTTTCTTCTTATACAGAAAAAAAATATTAAGAACTGAATTAAAATGTAGCTAAATGCAAATATATTTTATGTCCAGTCTGATTTTAATATAGTGGAAGTTTTTAATTAACCCTGTCTTTCTTCGTGTATAGGGTCAGCTCCTGAACGACGTGGTCCTCCGGCCAAACGTCCACGTGGACCCCCACCCAGACGTGGACCCCCACCACCCGCCAGAGTTCAACCTCCACCTCCCCCGAGAGGCAGGAGACCCCCTCCCCCACCACCACCACGTAGAAGACCACCACCACCACCACCAGGTATCTCACATTATAAGATTAGATTTCGGATTATCATATTATAAGTTTATATTTGGGATTATCATATTATATGTTTATATTTCGGATTATCATACTATAAGTTAATATTTCGGATCATCATATTATAAGTTTATATTTCGGTCATCATATTATAAGCTCATATTTCGGATGATCATATTATAAGATTATATTTCGGATGATCATATTATTATGAGTTTATATTTCGGATTCATTCCACAGATTTTATGTCTGGTGAAATAAATAAAAAGATGGAAACATCTATTTCTGAAATCATGTCAAGCGCTAAAAATATTTTCAAGGAAAAAAAGTTATATTTACATAAATAATGTTAATACATATGAATATATTTTGTTACTCCAATGTACGTGATAACAGGATATTGTTTAAATCTGTATCTTGCATATGGGTGAGCTCGGTTGTAACCTAATTCATACGGTTCCATTTTGCGCTTCTTTGCGTTTTAAAGAAATTCTCAATAAAGAAAGCGCGTACACATTTTGACACGTTTAATTTTCTTACACTTGAACAACTTTTGCAAAATATTTATCCAAAAGTTATATACTTCGGAAGATGAATTTAGTATATTTATAGAAAAAAATTTTTTTTTTTGGCTGGTGCACAAAAATACGAAAGAATTAATATATGTGTTCGACTTGTATTGAATTAATTCCAACAGGTGTATTACTGTAGATTCCTTATTTTTCGGACTACATCTACTTATTATCGCGAAATGTCTTGCGTCAAATCGCGAGAAGAATAATTAGCGAATTGTGCGGTTAATCAAGAGAATTAACAAGGGTTTGGGCACCTTAAAAACAAAAGCGAGAAAATTTTCTGTTTTGTCGGAGGTCAGTAAAAACTGTACAAATATCCAATCTCGACTTCTAGGCATCAACTTAACTTTGTCTTTTACAGCTTACAACTATTATGACTATTATCCTACATCAGCGCCATCTTACTTCTTACCCGACGATTGTGATTGTAATACCGGTGATTGTCCGCCAGGTACCAGATACGAGGGCTCCTGTGGAGACGATAAGAACTATTGTTGTTAATCCATCCTTATGTCAGGTATAGAAAAATACATGTATACCATGCACACTTTTCCTGTATTAAAGTTCAATATCATTATTTATTAACCTTAACTCTTTTACTTTTGTATATCGATTGCATAAGCATTTGATAATATATTGATTTGATTGAATTAATTAACTGACGATTTTAATATAGAATTGGAAAAAACATTTATAATCATTTTATTTTTAATATTTCAGGTTACCAGTTATTACGTCCTTAAAAACTTTTTATTAAAAGTTGGAAAGACGGGAGATGAAGAAGAACACAATAACATGCGTGCGTGAACAATCTGAGTACTTTCTACTGTATATCACTGCTGGAGGCAGATCTATTTTTATCTAAATTAAAAAAAAAATTTCAATTCTTTGTTGTTGTCTTATTTGATAAGAAGTTTCATCGGTGACTCTCTTTATTTGAAACAAGGATCCACGTTTCTTACATTGACTGGAAAACATTGTTTAAATAATTAAATTACTAGTATCAGACTTAAGAACAAGGTTCCGTTTCAAAACAAATTAAGCCGTATGAAAGTGATATAAGAAATTAAAATCCATTCTTTCTGATTCATTGGAATTCCATGCAGTAAGAATTAACAAATCGTTTGTCTTATTCAACCTATTAAATGCTAATTTTGACTCATTAACTTGTGAATTTTCCTGTATTTTCTTAAAAAGTTGCAGAAGACATTTTCAGTGGAATTTTTTTTTAGAAAAGATACTCTGCCACCGATGCCCACAAAAGATTTTGAGAAATGTGATTTTTCAAAGCAGTTTACATAATATATCCAAAAAGTGAAGTGTGCGACGGTGGCAGACACTATTCTCTGTAGGAAAATAAGCACAGAAATGTGTCATTCTGAGGCTTTTCTGCATTAAACTTAGAAATGTACAAAATTGACGACGTCATATTTACTTCATGCCATCTTCTTTATTTTCCATAACGGTCTCCTTTCATGTCATATTATTTATCACATTCATCTACTCAACTCTTGTTAAAGCCAATTTCATAACTTTTTAAGATCATTAATTTTTTAGGGCACAATAAAGCTCAAACCGTACCTTCTTCATACAAAGTAATATTTGTTTTGGTTTGGAAAAAGAAATTGGACACAAAGAAAATCAGTAAGTTGCACACTGATGAATAGTGTTTGTTGCTCAGTATGATTGGATAATTTTCTTTCACCGTATTTCATAAATTTCAAGTTTGCATTACTGTACATCTTCAGTGACCACGAAAAACTATTACTAAAATGCAATAATGGAGATTGTTTTTGGTTTATTATCTATTTTTTTTTTTTTGTATATTATCTATCACTAAGAAATATTTTTTTCCGTAAGTCGATTTCACGGAATCCTGTCAAGCAAGATATTAAATTACAAATTGTTTGCCTTTCCGCTTTAAATTTTCATTAGATAGTCATTTTTAATACTTAACCGTTCAAATGGCCCGGAATGATTTTTATGATACAATGTACATGTAAGTGAAGGTTTACTGAAATCATCCAAAAGTTGGAACGAAGACTTTTTATGGTTAAATATTTATTTTAATTCATATATCTTTTGTTTTTAAAAAATGGTTTTAATGTAACATTAGGGCAGCAACATATTTTTTTTAAATTAAGTAATCAAATACATGTACCAAGATAACTATTTTTCAGAAATGTAAAGTCCTGGAATAAATCGATGGTAATACATGAAATCAGTACAAATCTAATACTCTTCACAAAACCTGTAAGTGATACGTGCACAATATTGTATCAGCAAAAACACAAGATAAATCAATAAATATAAAAACGAAGTGTGGAAAGCCCACTTAGCGACATCTATTTTTATGTGTCGGTGACTTACTTTGGCGTCACGGAATAGACGGTCGCTGGTCGTTAGCCTGTCGTACGACCGTCACACCTAATCGTTAACCAGTCAGGTGACAGAATTGGCATGGAACCACACAAGTGTGGAATTAAAAACAAAGGCACCATCACTCTATCAATAAAGCCAGCGATACAACGTTTTTACTGCGAATTATACGACACTGTTTGTCACGGTAACTCTACATGTGCAGAGCGGTTCCGGTCATGTTTGATTAATATTGACCAAGTTATTTGTATTATTAGTTTTCCTATAAACATAACTACTGGTTGACCTTATCTTTGACATGACATGGACTTGTATTTTTCTTGTTGCATTTTATACCAAAGGATAGAACAACTATCTGTGCACCGAACACAACCATTCACGTCCGCTGCTCCCTAGTATTATGTAAATCCCTTCAGCAAGGGTATCCGCCCTCCTGTGATTTAGGTTTGTTTGTTTGTTGCTGTTTTCTTACTGTTGTTGTTTTTTTTTAAATAATAAAGCTTGGAACATTTAGTTTCAAGAATAAGGTTTGAATTATTTATGTAAACTAAAATATTGTATTTTTGTTTAGTTATAAAAGACATATACGCAGTGATCGCAAAATCTCTTTACACAATGCTTGATTTAATTAACAATTGAAGTAAACAGTAGAAAAAAATAGTATACAATAATATGGATATTGTATATCAGAGTTCTTATTTCATTTACGTGAAGGATAAAAGCAACGAATAGAGACAATTTACAAATGATTTTTAGGGGTGATGGGGTGGTGAGGGGTAAAATTCACACACCGGTATTTGGGTCTTGGTTTATAATTATATACAGTTGTATGTATCTTATCGATATGTAAAAATTAAACTTTATTCTTTCTTTTTTTACATATCAATAAGGTAAACTCATCAAAAAAAGAAACGCATAGTTGGAACAATGCCCTGAAAAATGTATGATACTTTTGACACACCTTTTATTTTAGATGGATATGATGCATTCGAGTGAGGTGCATGATTTTTTTAAAGCAATTGTTACCTTTACAGCGATTCTACACACATCACAGACAAAAAGACCCTGATTTTGCAAAAATCCTCCCAAAATTTTGATCTCAATTTTCAATTGTTTGTTTCTGATGCAATTCCTTCAGGTACAAAGGGGCTATCAAAGGCGTGGGTTCTCGATATTTTGAATGTGGTTTTATCTGAAAATTGACTCTTTCTAAAAATGCTGCATCTGAATTTTGCAAAGCACAAAAAGGAAAATGGGCGACTGGAAGCAGGGGCACCGCAGTCTAAAATTGCAAGAGGTTTTAATGTTACGCACAGCGCCATATCTCACCTATAAAACATAAACCATTAACAACGAACACCCAATGTTCGCAAAAAATACGGTAGACTACGTCTGACCACAGGAGTCTGAAGTTTTTATCGTCAAAAAAAAAAAAATCCGGAAAAAAATTCCCCCGCCCCTCAACTAAAAAAAACACCAGGATGGCAACGTGTTTTGGGGGGGGGGGGGACCCACCTTAACAAATAGATCTGGGCTTCGTCAGAAAAATTTCGCAACTAATTCAGTATTCGGAGTGATTGTGTTATTTATTCAAGTTGAAAAATCCAATCTGCTTGACGACTACGGGCCATTTCTGGCCATTTTTCCACTTTGACAGCTCATCCTGGACTCCATGCCACTAAACCGGAAGTGATATCGCAGTGAATATTTGATGTAATTGAAGAAAAGAAACAAAAAAGGAATTGCATGAAAAAAGAATTTAACTTTTTAAAGTTCTTTTAGATATATTTAAAATAACTGAGTCAAATTACGTTGAACAATTATTTATTTTATTTTATTTGAACAAGCTTTTATAGACGTCAAATATATACTGCGATACCACTTCCGGTTTAGTGGCATGGAATCCAGGATGAGCTGTCAAAGTGGAAAAATGACCAGAAACGGCCCGTAGTAGTCAAGCAGATTGGATTTCTTAACTTGAATATATAACACAAACGCTCCGGATACTGGATTAGACGGGATTTTTTCTGGCCAAGCCCAGATCTATTTGTTTAGGTGGGTCCCCCAAAACACGTTGACATCCTGGTGTTTTTTTTAGTTGCGGGTGGGAAATTTTTTTTCGGATTTTTTTTTTTATTGACGATAAAAACTTCAGACTCCTGTGGTCTGACATCAGCAGCACAGCATCACTTCGGAAGATTACGTAAATTGCATGAATGCAACACAATGACGTTGTCTAAAGCATAAGTTATCCCTGAATTGCGCAGATAATCTAACAAGACCCTTTTCGGTTGACTACGAATTATTGCAAGAAAATTAATCATGCCATTGTTCCGACCTCACAATACCCCAAATATCGACTTCAAACATGTCATATAAGTAAAGTATGACCACAGCATTATCGTTGAACATTTTGGTTTAGCTACTTGTCCAGAATTTTTATCAGAAAGCCTCTTATAAGTTTAAGAGTGCTGATGCTCTGTAATGAACTTTAGACAGATAACTGCCCCCAGGACGTTAAAAAAAGTTGGTGGTGGTAGTGTAATGATATGGAAAACAGTATTATATGAAAAAAAGATCACCCATAGATGCTGTATACCAAATTTGGTTGAAATTGGTTCAGTGATTTCAGAAAAGAAACTGAAAATGTTCAAATGTTAACACACGACGAACGACGCACGACGGACGGACGGACGAAAACGGATAGCAATAGGTCACCTTAGTTACTCAGGTGACCTAAAAAGGCGTCGTATTTATCCAAATCGAAGAGATTGTACGTTTTAATTGCAATTAACAAACGAAAAATATGAATTTCGAGAACGCCGAACATTTTCTTGTGTTTCCCAGCTCCGGAAGGACTTCGGAACTGGAGTTAGTGTGCGAATTTTACCTCGTTTAAGTGGATGACTTAAAGTACATCGACTCGCACAACTGGATAACATGTTCTTAACCGCATGTTTGTTTTATCAATACAACTCACTATATATATTCACGTTCGATGTTGTCAAAATTTTACAAAATGCATGGTGTCTAATTTAACCTTTATTAAACAGTTCTAATAGATGTAATTAGAATATAAAGTCCACCGAGAACCTGTTTTATACGTAATAACTCTCCTCATGACCCTGTGCTAAAAATAGCGACATGTAATACAATGAATACTAATAAAACAAACGGGGCGGGACTTTTTGAGAGGGGTGAGAGAGGTCCTAGGGAGTTTTGGTATAAAATTACATTGGAAAAGCTCAAAATCTTCTTAAAATATCGCCCGGAAATGATACTGTTTCATACAGAAAGAATGTATAAATTTACGACCTTGAACTTTGACCTTTTGACCTCAAAATCAATAGGGGTCTTCCTTGGGCCACAGGGACTTGATATGTAAAATTTCATTGCAAAAGCTCAAGGGGTTCTCGAGATATCGCGCGGAAACGAAAGTATTATAACAGACAGAATTTGC